AATTTGAGTTCATTAAATCCCTATATTCCCCCAGTTTCCATTTCATTTTCCATTTCATTTTCCATTTGATTCTCCATTATATGCCTTAACAGCAACCCAGGCTACTGGGGCAGGAAGATCCAGGACCCGGCTGAGCGCAAGCTGAAGCTGACCACGGAGCTCAACAACGGCCGACTGGCCATGATTCTGGGCTCTTGTAGAACAAAAATTAGGGTTTAGGGTTTAGGGTTTAGGGTGTAGGGTTCAGTGTTTAGGGTTTAGGGTACGTTTTTACGGATACCTGGGCCCAATATCAATCAAAAAAGATCTTTTTTAATTGTATTTCAACAAGAACCCAGGATTGCCATGGCAGGCATGTTGATTCAGAACGGCCTCACTGGGCAGTCCCCCATTGAGCAGCTGACTGCCGGCCACATCTCCCCCTTCAACGACGGCCAGGGCTTCTTTGCCTTCGACCCATCTCAGGCTGGAACGCTAAATAGTAGTTTCCATTTTATTTTCCATTACCCCTCATCTAACCCCAATATAGCCCCAAAATCCATATAACCCCCATATTCCCTTATCCCCATGTATCCCCAATATTACCCCTATATCCCATAATATATTAAGATATACCAATATACCCCTATATCCCAGAATATACTATGATATACCAATATACCAATATATCCCATGATATACTATGATATACCCTATCCCATATCCCATAATATACTATTATATACCAATATGCCCCTATATCCCATAATATACTATGATATACCCAACTCAGGAGCTCGGTGCCTGCCCTCCTCTGGGCTACTGGGATCCCTTTGGCATGATGGCCTTCCAGGATGAGGAGAAGTTCCGTCGCAACCGGGAGCTGGAGCTCAAGCACGGCCGAAGCTGGGTTGCGGTTAGGGTTTAGGCATTCCATGCTCAATTTGGGCGATGGAGTATGACGTCGTCGTCGTTAGGGTTTAGGGTTTAGGGTTCAGGGTTTAGGGTTTAGGGTTTAGGGAACTTAATTTAAGTTACTCTATTGGGGAAACCCTATTATTTTTGTATACCAATATGGTAACTTAATTTAAGTTCCTTAACAGCAACCCAGGAATCTGCATGGTCGCCACCATCGGCATGATTGTGCCGGACCTCTTTGGCCGCTTCGGTGGCTACCTCTCGCCCTCCATGAACCTCAAGTTCTCTGACATCCCTTGCACCATTGAGGCCATCTACAAGGTCCCAACCTTCGGCTGGCTGCAGGTCTTTGCCCTGGCAGGCGCCATTGAGGCTAAGAACCAGGCCTTCCCTGAGAACTACGGCTACCCTCCTTTCTGGGGCAAGATCAACTCCCTCGAGCCTGAGGAGAAGCAGAAGAAGCTGCTGGCTGAGATCAACAACGGCCGCCTGGCAATGGTTGCCATGGCTGCCATTGTGGCCCAGAATGGTGCCACTGGCCAGTCCCTCGTCGAGCAGTTCACTACGGGCAACCTGAACCCTTTCGTGGGCGGCTACGCGCAGCAGGAGGCCGGAGACCGCTTGTCCATGCGAGCTGAGTTCGGCTCCGCCGCTGGCAAGTCTACCGCCCTCCCTTGGGATTCCGTCCCTGAGGGCCTCACCAACGACCTCTTCAACCCGACCTACGTGGGTGACGCGGGCTTCGACCCTGCCGGCTTTGCCAAGAACCAGCGCCTGCTGCCTTGGTACCGTGAGGCTGAGCTTCTAGGTACTCCAGTAGTACCCTTTCGCCCTTTTTGTTTGGGGGTCTTCTTATTTAAGCTGAATAGTAGGAAAAAGGGTACCCTTATTATCGAGGGGTGACCGGGGAACCTAGGCTTGCCCATGGCCGCGTTTGCATGTTGGCCGTGCTCGGCTACACTGTCCAGACTTCCGGCGCGAAGTTCGAGCCCTTCATCACCCGCTACCCAACGGACTCCGCCGACCCGCTGAAGGCGGCCACGCAGGTGCCCATCGTCGGCTGGCTTCAGATCATCGTGGTGATTGCCCTGTCCGAGCTCTGGCGCTACGAGAACGTGATCAGCAAGTATTCCCAGGGAGTCCAGCCCGGAGACCTTGGCTGGAACCCCACCGCCCCGGTGAGCAGCCCGCGCCCCAAGTGGTTTGGTCCCACCTTCACCGCTGCCTACAAGCCAGAGGAGTGGAACAACATGAAGCTTCGTGAGATCAAGCACTGCCGATTGGCAATGGTGGGCTTCTTCTTCATGGTGCTCCGAAATGCCTCCACTGGTGACTGGGTTGCTGTTCAGGGACTTAATTTAAGTCACTATACTGGGGAAACCCTATTAATTACCATACCCATTATGGTAACCCTAAACCCTAAACCCTATACCCATTATGGTAAGTCATTTCCCAGGTGAGGGCCCTTCGCTGCTCCCCGACCTGACCACTGCGGAGTTCCAGTCCTCCGTCGGCGACTTCATCCCCAGGGACATCTGAGGGGCTCTGCGGACAAAGCTCCACAAAAGGTGGAGCTGCTATCAGTTCGTAGATTAATGACCGTCCTGTAGACCCGGAAGCCACTTTTTAGCCAGCTTCAAAGTTGGACCCAAAGCCTCCTACAGAAGAGGCCCTGAAAACGGACGCTTGCTGCTAGGGCTCAGGGTTTTCAGTAAGGTTAGGGTTGGATGCTAAGGGCTCGGAGCTTACGGTTTTGTGCAGCGAGGGTCCCTCACCGCATCACTGCTCCATCCCTTCAAAGCAGGCTAATCACATCTCGCATAGAGGTCATATTGCAGATATCCTGTCTTCCTGAGGAAGGTAATCTAGGGACATGCAAGACCTGAAGGCCACAAAAAATGCTTGAGCACACTCCCATTTATGATATCGTTGTCCTCTAAACCTTTAACCCTAAACCCAGATAATAGGGGAAGGGACTGGGGTACTATGCTCACCATGGGGGCCCGAGTATATTCCCACAAAACAGGCCTCTCATTATAGGCCACGCTCAGAAAGGGAACAGAAGCCCTGTAGGAAACCCTAAACGCCCAAACCCTACACCCAATCAAACCCTGAACCCTAAACCCTAAACCCAATCCTGCATGGCCCTTGCTAGCAGGATTCCACGCTCGAGACGATCGCTCACGAGTTTGGCCCAGGCCTTGTGCTGCTGCGCGCTGGATCTCAAGTTGTTCCATTTCTCAGAATTCGAATATGTGGAAGAAGGTCTAAACATCTGGGGAAGGCATTTAAGGCGACCATCATCTCGACATGTGTACACACCAATGTCATGGCTGAGCTTGTTATCATGTGCATGCCTAGAAGAGGCACGGTCATATAGTTCCTACGTCTTTGTTTTTTTTTTTTTTCTGAAAGCTTTTCACAGAAGTGTGCTCTCAACAGATGCCATTTTAAACCTGATCCACGGTGTCTGCGTCGGCATGCTCTGTCGGCACTTGAAGCATCTTTTCGTTCCTGGAACCAATCAGCCAACATGATGGCGCTTGCAGGGTGAGGACTCAGCCAATAACAGGTAAGTTGGGGGAGACAACCGGAAAACTGGGCTTAATCATTATATTGCTTATCTACGGGTCACCCTCCAAGTGGTCGGAACTGCAATGTAAGTGTAGCGGTGGTTCAGAAATGCCACCCAGAAATGGTGGCTATAGTGACCGCAGTGACAATGGTAATTGTAGTAGCTTCCTATGATATACCTATTATGCAGTCATTAGTGGGTGGCGCCGGGCGATGACCCAAGTGGTACTTTTACTCGTACTTTGCCCCCGCCGGGGATCAGCAGGGAAATGGATGAATGCATCTATCTGCAATAATCGTCCCTGCAGCTCACTTCTGGGGGAATCCCCCACTAGCAAGTTCTTCGCTGAGCCCTAAACCGTGTTTGCATGCTGGAGGCTGTCGACATACTCTGGCCGTGAAGGGCACAGGTCTTGGGCCACTCTTGAGGCGCTAGCGGCGGTGATTGCGTGGTTTAGGCCTTAGGGATTAGGGAGATTGGACGAAGAGGGATTAGATTTTTTTCCTGTTCCCATGTAGTTCCAGCTGCTATATAGAGTTCAAAACGGCGCAGCCCTCCCAAAAAGCGCCACTGAACAAGAACAAAAACTTTAAACAACTTTCGGGAAGCCGCATTTGGAGTTTGTTCGGCAAATTTTGGGCATGCTATTTGCAAAGGCTCGGTACGAGAAGCTAACTTAAACCCCTACACACTAGACCCCAAATCTTTCTGGCCTCTTTTTCATTCATGATTACATTACCATGGCCGCTTTAGTCCGATTTGCGCACATATGGGGATTGTCAACAATTAGGGCTCCCGTCTTGGGCCCCTGTACTGAGGGTCAATATGGGGGTCTACATTAGGGCCCCTATTTGAACATCCTCATATTCATAACGATGTTTTGGGCCTGTATGCAGCGCGAGGCGGCCTAAACGTGTGGGGTTAGGATTTGGGAGTGTCTGCTGCAGTGCTAATGGCCCCATGTGTAGGCCTCGTGCCAAATGAACTGAGTCTGCACACATAGCTTTTTGTGTGGGTGGCCGAGAGGTGCTTCGGCGGCCATTCCATCGGCCAAGTCCTTTCCACATGAGTGTAGCCGCTAGGGCTTTGAATGCTCGCTTCTGTTTGCGAACGAGCGCGGAGCGAACAAGCATAACATTTTCCCATGCTCTTATCGAAGAGTATCATTCTTAGTTCTTGTCTGCAAGACAAGTGACAAGTATGAATAAGAGGCTCATGTGAATGCATTGCTATTTTCTTACACTTCCCTCACCATCACTAGAGTTTCTGTATTATCTTACTGGTGCTTTGCAGGAAATAAGGGAATCTAATCCCTATGTAATTCGTTATGCAATAATTTCCCGTATTCCTTACTAACTCCCAGTAAGTAAAGCCTAACCCTAAACCCTGAAGTCCAAACCCTACATAAGTAAGTAAAACCCTGACCCTAAACCCTGAAGCCCAAGCCCTCGACCCCAAACCCCAGAGCCTAAACCCTAAACCCTAAAGATTAAAGCCTGACGCCTGAACCCTAAACCCAATAAGTGCCCCAGGCGTGCGGTGCAGAAGGGCTTTGGTCTGGAGTGCGCGAGCTTGGGAGAGGCATGCAATCATTCTCCTGACTCCTTGCAATGTTACATAGGGATAGATAGGTGTATGTAGGGGAATGAAGGGGTATGCAGCGGTATATAGATTAGGGGTATATAGGAGTATATGGGGTTATGTAGGGGTATATAGGTTTTATATGGGGTAGATAAGGGTACATAGGGTCATATAAGATTGTATAGGGGTATATTGGAGTATAAAGGGTTAGGTAGAGGTATCTAGGCTCATGTAGGGTTATGTAGGGGTATACAGGGTTAAATAGGGGTATGTTGGGGTATATAAGGTATAAGGTTAAAAAGGGGCAGACAAGGGTACATGGGTTTTTTAGGGGTAGATAGCGGTATATAGGGTTATATAGGGGTAGATAGGGACATATAAGGACATATAGGGTTATATAGGGGTAGATACGGGTTTTTAGGGTTCTATAGGGGTATATAGGGGTATACGTGCATACATGGGACCAAAAGGGTTTAGGGGTTTCAGGGTAGTATACTCAGGGGGGTGAGGGCTTAGGGCTTTTGGGTAGTACCGCTGTACCGCTAGGGTTGTACTCCTGGGTTTAGGAATCCGAATGTTAAGGGACGACATTGCTTCATATATGACCGATGGTTTTGTAGGGCGGGTGTATATGGCCGCGAGTCGAAAAACCTGGCTTTGTAGCAGGCTTAGAAGTCCATTCCGCGACCAGGCTTCTAACCGAATTTGCTGGCTTGTGACAAGCACCTTTGCGACAAAGCTCTCTTATGGGACATAACAGCAGGCCGCGACGAACGGGTATGTGATATGAGGGCCCTGCGACAAAACTGCTTTTGATCCACAGTTATCTAGCATGCCTTTGGAAGTATTGGTGAGTTTATATATGTGGTGTCCATGTGGGGGGACCACAAATCAAAACTACAAGGATGAATATGAATACTCTTCCCTCCGCAAAGCTCACAGCATAAAATCCTAAACGTCCTAAACCCTATGGCGTGGTACCCGGATCAGGCCCTACATGCTCAAGCTGTTGGCTGTCCAAGCCAATTGGTGGTCTCTTGCTTGTTAATTTATCGGGCTACAGCACATGAGTAGTATTTTGCTTGGGGATACTATGGTACCCAGTATAGAGTAAGATTATATCCTCCTTTTGGGGAATCGTATTTTACATAGGGAACATTATTATCTTACTAGGTTCAACCACCAAAAATAAGCTACTCACATGAAGGGAGTGTCAGGTGTGGGGTTTGAGCGGAGGATGCTGGGATCTCTGGGAGGCATCCCATTGGAATCCCTTTCAGGGCGGGTGCGACAAGCGTGTCCGAGTTCATATGGATAGCATTACTCTCGCACCGTAGGCCTGAGCATGAGGAGTTTGCATTGACATTTTTTTTCTACCAGTCATACTCCTGTACTAGGTCAGGCTCGTGAGGAGTGAAGATCAATTCAATGCAATGTTGCTGTTGTTTTTTGATGTGGTGATTTCCATAAATAATAGGGGGACCCCAATATAGACTTCAATATACTTTAATCCTTATTATGGGGACGCCCAAAAACTGTACCCCTAATTTGGGAAACCCCTATGTGTTCCTGTAGGGTTCACATAGGCATAATGCACGTCCATTCATTGCAGGCCCATGGGTGATTCTAAGGCTACTCAGCTTGCTGTTTCTCAGAAGTGAAGTCCCAAGTAGAAGTCCATACAGAGATTGCTGTCCCGTGCAACAGTTCCATACTTGTGGGGTTCCAATTTGAAGCCCTAAACCATAATCTCTATCAGCTTATTGCTTATGTTAATGCCATCTTAACTCCGCGTTGCCCCACTTCAGCTTTCTCGGTTCCATGCTTGTGGGGGAGAAGTTCAATACATATGTATGTAGGGATGTGCGGGGATTAGGGTTCAGGGGTTAGGATGTACTTGGAGGTTTATGGCTATTAGAACCCAATTGTAACCACATGAGGGGGCTTAGGGGGCTTATGATTTGGTTACAAGTGCAGCTACAAGTAAGTAATAATTATACATTCGCCTCTACTAAGTGGTGTCTAGGGTTTAATGCGTAGCATTTTCAAGCCTAGGGTGCTGGGATAAAGGGCTTGGCAGTGTGGGTGAGCGCGCATATTTGGTGTCCAATTGGGGGACCGCAATCAAAATCAAACCAAACTTAGCCCCTAAACCCTAAACCCTCAACCTAAAGCAAACCTATTCAGCCCCTTACAAAGTCAAAAGAACTTCCAAGTAAAGACCAAGGTTTTTGACTCGCCCTGCAAGTCCCGCAGCGAGCCAGCTGCACAGAACTTCTGAGGTCACCAAGGGCTTGTGTGCTCTAAAGGCTCATGTAAGTAGTATCTTATTTGGGGATACTATGGTACCCAATATAGAGTAAGATTATATCCTCCCTTCGGG